AGGTGCTGTCCTAACGCGTTGATGACTTGGAAAGAAGGAAATAACCACTGCTTAAGCTGTTCTATTGCACGCTGAGTTACGTAGCGCAAAATATAGCATTTTATTTCGTTTGCCTCTATGGTGTAACCTAATTAGCAATGAACAAATGCCGACAGAGCAGCAGGTACTGCATCGTCTTTGATTATATGCTCACTCTACTACTTTTTCACCTTTTTTTACACATTTCCCCCTTCTCAAAAGGAATTGTATATATGTTACATCAGACGAAACAAAAATAAGTGGTAATTAAAGAAATGAAGTGAATCGATTAACCGAAACCCCAGATCGTAAATTGCACTGTTTTTGGGACGCAGTCTCCAAGTCTTTTCGAAAGTCACCGCTATCTGCACCTCCGACGAAGGGGTTGCGGTTCTTGTCGGTCGGTGTTAGGAGCATTTGACTGCGGTGTCAGCCGTTGTTGTTCCCCTGCCGGAGGTAAGTCGTGTGACTGGAGTGCACATTGTGATGGGCTCCACGAGGCCACAGGTAACAACCCGCTGTCCTTATCTTAAGTAAGCTGTTGCAGGACCTCACATGGAACTTTAGAAAGCTTGCTTGCATTCCAAACCTTTCCACCTTAGAGTGGGAATGCGTTAGGTCCCTGACGATTTAGTATCTTTCTTGGTCCTAATTAACGCAGGTTTTTTTTTGCATGATTCCAAGGCAGCTTCACACGAACAAAGTGGCCTCGATGAAAGGCAGGCACGCGTGTACCTCCCTTGTTATCTGCGTACACTCGTGAGGCGTCCTGGTGCTTCTTGGTTTGTTCTTCCAGCTCGGTCACCGCAGCTGTTCGGTCCGTGAAGAGGTTTTCGTGTGGTCCTCCGGCGATGACCAGCTTAATTCGGCGGTGTCCATTGCTTAAAAAAATGTCATTGACACATCCGTAACTGAGTCTGGCGTTGCACGGGAGATACTGATGTATTCGGTTAACGCCTCCTAGAGGTTCTGCCCTTCGAGAAGTGCCAGCTGAATGAAGCCTTTCAAAACCCTGCTGAATATTTATATCATTCCGTTAGACTGTGGATAGAGATCCGATGAAAGCTGTGACAAATCCCGAGCTCCAGTAGCAAATCTTTTGCCTCCACTGATGTAAATCGGCTTCCGTCATCTGAGACGATCTCAGTCGGGCAGCCTTCACGGCTGAAAAGAGTGAGTAGGAGGCTGCTCATCGTGTCTGATAATATGATATTACTCTACTGGCAACATAAATTTCAGGCCCGCGACTGCAATATTGAATGAGTGTGATGAGGAAGCGATGGCACTGTGACGCTTTGTCAATTGGTCCCACAATATCAATACAAAAGCTTTCCCATAGATGTGCAGGAAGTGGTATTGGATTCAAAGGAGCAGCAGAAGTATTTGCGGACTTGTCAGCTGTCTGGCGTGTCAAGCAACCACGAACGTTCCACAGGAGGATTCATGGCTGGCCACCTCTGCATCAATTCGTACCACTGCCTCAATCGTTGTTTGGTAGGAACGCTACCCAGGTGTAAATCAAGTGACAGGACGATTATCTTGGAAGTTATTGTAGGGAAAACTACAATAGGTGCTCCACGTAGAAGTAATCCACTGACCTCTGATAGCTCAGATCTCACTTGATAGTAAGGTGCAAAATCGGCACGTAGCTAGCTCTTTAAGGGCCACGTCGTAGCAACGGAGTGCTGAACTTTTTGTAACGTTGGATCTGCGTATATATCAGTCTGCATTTTGTCCTTGGAAGCTGTTGATTTGTGACAAAAATAACTTTTTCGTCAAATGTGTGGGGCGACACGGCAGGTAATGGCAGTCGGGAAAGCGCATCTACAATGGCGTTGTCCTCGCCCCTCTTGTTGCGCACAGTGATGTTTTAGTTTAGAAGGCGTGCTGTCTCTCGAGCGATTCTCAGCGGACGGTGACCCGTACCTTGTGAGCTCAGTAAGGTCCTTAGTGCCTGATGACCTCTGAAAAGGGTGAAAGGCCCTCCCCAGAAATAGACGTGCCGATGTTCTAGTGCTAAAATGCACTTAAGGGCTTCTCGTTCCGCAGCAGTGTATTTCCCTTCTTCTGGTGAAAGTGATCTTGAAGCAAACGCAGTGGTTTGCATTTCGGATCCGTTTTCTTGCTGGAGGACTGCGCCAATGCCGTATGCTGATGCGGCCGTCGTAACAAGGACTGTCAACCCTGGGGCTGAACATAGAGTGCTCTTCAGGCCTCCAGTCGGCGATTGGCATCTTAATTCTTTCGCAGCACAGCTGAGCTTAGTTTGTTCAAACGAATGACTTCTCATCACGCAGTAAGACTCTTAGGGGGGGTACTTCGTCCGACGACTACGGTGTCAGTCATTGCTGTTGCTGGTGTGAAGAAATTGTGAGTAGTGGCCGGCAAGTCCTAGGCCAAAGTGCAAGGAATGATGGCCCTTTGGCGCAGATGCATCTTGTATGGCTTTGATGTTTGCTTGCAGAGGAGATACACCTTCTGGCATGATCGTATGTCAGACAAACGACAATTCCGTTAGTCCGAATATACACCTTAATTTAGTTTCAGACCAGTGTCTTAGATGCTCTGTAGAACCTCGAGCAGATTTTTTCCATGGCTGTCTGCATTAAACCGAAGATGATATCGTCGGGATAGCAAAGGACACCGAAACATCCGACAAAAATATCCGACACCAACTTCTAGGAAGCTGAGTCCGCAGACACCAAGCTAAACACACTCTCTTGAAGTGGTAGGAACCATCATGAGTGATGAATGCGGAAAGGTCGCGGCTCTTAGGCAAAATACAAACTTGATGGCAAGCTGCTGTTGAATTCAGCTAGGAGAATACATTTGCTCCATTCAAGGCACAAAGGTTATTCTGTGTTTGGTAGTGGAAAGCAATTGACGAAGATTGCTTTGTTCGGATCACGAGATCCACGCAGGTTCGGGGTTTTTTGTCTTTTTTATTGCAACGACAATCGAAAACACCCATTCACATCCGTTGATTGGTTCGATGATGTCCATGTCAAGTAATCGTTTAAAGTCCTGAGACACTTCGTTTCAAACCTTGCGCTTCAATCGACGGAGTTCTACCTCAACAGTTCCTTTACCTTGACTTGTTGCTTGTACCAGTTTGTAAGAAGTATTGTTGGAGTGAACAGGTGAGTCTAGGTAGAGTCCACAATAGTTTTAAAATTTTTAGAGGTCCGTGCAGAGGTCTGCATGCTTTGCAAGATGGATCCATCAATGCAAAGTCTCTAGGCAGAAAGTCCACCTTGTGCCACTACGTAAAGAACAAGCTGTGCTGAGAAACCGTTATAGGTTCCAAATGTGGAGTAGCAAAATGAGTAGTGAAGGAACGCCGTCAAATCAGTAGTTATTGCATTGTCTTTTTTGTATTTCAGCCCACCCTACTTCTTCATTCACTTTGGACACAACAGCCTCATTTCGAACAAATCGCAAAATCATGGGCAGTAACTAAGTCTAACATGACCGAGCGCCCATTTTATTAGCGCATCAGATAAGAACATCAAGTAATGACATTTTATTTACGATATTTTTAATGAGTAGTACATATTGGGGGTACTAATTATTAATAGTAGTTTTTCTTTAAAGAAACAATTAGAAAATTAATAGGTTCGTCTACTTATAGATAGTGGTACTTTCTGCGCTCAATTCTTTCCCATGCCACGAGCGCTGATTACAGATGATTTGATTAAAATAACAAAGAACCTGTAGTTGAGCTGGTGAACTTTAATCATCCTGAAAACCGAGACATTGAAACAAACGAAAAGGAACAGTACACTCACACAGGTGTGTGTTGTCCACATTTTTGTTTTTGAGTCACGAGTTTTCTAGACGTTGATGCTTCTTTATTGCTAGGAAAATGCTATCTGATTGTGTGCCAAGATACAAGACGCTATGCTACTGAAGTTCTTATCCCGAAAGTGTTTTTTTATCCTCGTGCAAAAATAATAGGAGAAAGTTGAAAGTACACGCGACTTGGTAAACGCTCTCTTTACAACAAACGAACAACCAAGCAGTTCTGAAACACCTAGAGCTGAAAACTGGTTAACTGGTTAGTTTTCCTTAGAGCCTCTAAGTAAGCAACGCCTGAGATTAACAACAATTTAGCCCTCTCGTTCCCTAAAATCATCGTTCACAGTTATCTCAAGCTTTATCTGGAATTGAGGACACGCTTCTGCGCCCTCCAGAAATCGCGAAAGAGTCAGCGATAATGCAAATCGGCATCGTTCGAACTTTTTGACACCGTGTATGCAGTTTAGGATGTAGCATTTCTGAGCAGTCAGCATTGTCACGTTCGCTCGCTCTACAATAGGCGACAAATTGGCGATGTCGACAAGATAATCATGGAATTCAGTATCCGGATTTCGGGCGTAGCTTATTGAGAGGCAAAATCCTGCTAGTATATACAGCGCAGGTGTAATGTCCTTCCTTTACTTAACAAATGCGGATTTGAAAAAAAAAAAAAAAGAACAGGCCCTTTTTAAAATCCAATCAAGCGACATTGGCCGTCGCCATTATTTGGGGGCTCGAAGAACGCTCAAGCACCTTCGTACTCATCGCAAGCTCAGTTCTCATCGTTCCCGACGAACTGCGGACTCGAATAATTGGCGGAATATCGACTAAATGGGCCTTTTAGCGATCAACCCCAGTGAGTTTCGAAGCAGTTAAAAATCAGTCACACGCGTCACAGGGTCCAGCTTATCTGCGTTTTGCTGTTATCTTTCGAAGTCGCGACAGAGCTTTTCTGTCAGCAGAACTTTGATTGTCTAACGCCACGCGCAACAAGATTGCGCGGATGTTGGTCAGCTCTTCCCTCAAGCAAGACCGCTCCCGTCAGAATGTCAGCCGAAGTTGAAACGTTCTACCCACACGTTGTCCTTGCTTTAACTCTCCTTCGTTAACTGCCGCCATAAACGACGGCTTATATATCTGCCTCGTATCGCCGTCTGTTTTATCGCGACTTATTTCAGTGAACACCGGGCAAAGAAGCCAGTGGACGTCGCCTCCGGTGTGAGCACAGAACCATTCAGGTAAGCGCTTTTGCCTACAAGAAAGTAGAAAGAACATTGTAATTCAACGTCTGAATTCCAAATGTTTAGAAAGGCCGAAACAGTATGAATTGAACAAAAAATCTAAGAGCCAAGTGTGTAAAAAAAGAAAAAAAAAAAACGCTGCTCGATAGTACAGTGTCCTTCGAGCATAACGCCGTCACTCGATGTCCTAGCTCTTTCGATACTTTACCGTGTGCTATAGCTAATGACATGTTGATCACTACCACAAGGAAAATGCGTCCGGTGACTGCGTTATCTTTGAGTAACGGCAAATAAATCGACGTTGAAGCTCTCTATTGTCACCGGCAGAGTAAGAAACGGTACAGTGTGTTTTTGGAACACCAGGCCTCGAGCGCGCGCTCGCTGCTTTCAGCCGTGCTTCGGCTGCGTGCGCATGGTCGATGTGCACGAGACGCCGAGCCGTTATCGAAGGCGGGGAGCTGGCGCAGAAGGCGGGACAACCGAAGCTCCTTCGTGCCCATTCTTACCTGGTCAGTGACCACAGTGACAGCGCTAAGTCAAGGCAGAGCGCCGACCGCGGAGCAGAAGTTGGCCCCGCCAGCAATTGTGCATTACGAGATTCGTTCACGATCACCAAGATGCGGCCACACGATTAAGACATCATACAAAAGAGAGGCCGCAGACACTGTCTCAGGTGTTCTTCCTTCTTGCTGGATGGTTCTGTCAGATCGTTCATAAAAAGCAAACAGTCCTTAGACATGTTGCATGTCTGTATGAAGGAAACATGCTTGGAACAAGCTTGAGGCCTATCTCTGGGTAATCATGGCATCATGTCTTTTGTATGATATGGATGACCAGTGTGACTCTGGTTTAACTGTTTTGACTGAATGGCGGTGTACGGGGCAGTTAAGTTTATACATAGTTGGCTGTGAACAGTGATTGGTAGTGGCGCTGCACTAGCAAACACGGTATTCCTGCTACAAAGCGTGACCTTCCGTAGTGTGACTTCCGTACGGCAAACTTGGAGTACGCGGGAATAGCATAGGGAACCCGTGAGAGTGTCGGGTACACAGTTGGTGTCATTACTTGAGTAATTATTTTAGTGATTTTTTTTAAATATTTTCTAGTGCCAACCATAAGTGGACGTACCATAAGTTAAGCGCTGCACAAAACTAGAAAACGATTAGACCCCCTTGAATCAGCGCAATGAAAACAAGATACGAACCATTATTCGTTAGCTCAAACTGAAGCGGCATAGCAGACCCATCTGAATTAAACGAGTAAAATGTCCGATTTTACGATTGGCGTCTGAGATAGCAGACTGTTTGATGGCAAAAAGGGCTAACTGTTTGAGTACATTGCGCGACATTGTTAATAGGAAAACGGTTTCAGTGTGTATCTGCATTTGACTTTGAAAGGGTTTCGACGTGCACCGCATTTCATGGCTTAGGTTACAGCCCCAAAATGAGCAATTATGTTGAACGCAATATCGTTGCACGCAGATTTCTATATTTAACAACATGAATATCTTTGTACATACACTAACGCACACTCCCAGACACACTCGGTGTATCTGACACGCCCGGAATCGTCCTGTTTTCTGTTCCAGTCCTTGGGGCGCTTATTCTTGTATGTGCGCTCACACGCACGCACGAACACACCAGACTGGAACTTCAGTCTGAAATATAATGGGCATTTAAGCAGTATAAAAACACGATCATCATAGAAATAATGTAAAACTGTTAAGTTTTTTAGGCGCAAAAAAATTTTTGCAAATTTTGTGTCGGAGTCAAGTTGAAGAATAAAACCTGAGTCCTTCAATGTGCTATTGGTCCCGACATTGCTTTGTAGCACTATACGGAGCGCAAGTTCGTCTGCTGCTTGCACAGGAGTTGCCATGATGACAGAACGCCAAGCGCTTATTGGCTGATTGAAAAAAAAAATAGTGTGTAGACCTTGATTCATTTAGAGCAGAGGTCTACCCACTATCCTTTCAATCAAAGCCAATCAGAGCTCGGCGTTGTTTTGACGTCACCGCAACTCCTGCGCAAGGAGCAGACGACTTGCTCTCCGTATTTGGGGAAGCTTGGTACGCGACCACGCTCGGCGCTGGCGTCCACAAGGGGGCGAAGAGCCACCAACCTGACTTCTTGTACTTAACGAGTTACAAATAAGTAATTACTTAGAATCAATTACAATGTATTAAAGCTTTTAACGCTTCATTTACTTTTTTTTTGTGCAGTAACGTACGCTGTAATTTAATTACTCTTTTTGAGTTATGAATTTCATGTTTACGAAAGACGTAAAATTATTGAGTGAAATTGTTTTGCGTACAAGAAATCGCTTTATCTGCCCCTGCGTCACTCGTCTATGTTGCACCAACGTTGGAAACTTTTATTGTCCCTAAACGAATAAAAAAAAAAAGATACCAAGATAGGAGGAGGATTGGAATGTCAACGCGCTCAGCTGCGTTTTGACTGTCGGCATTTCGAGAGTGTCTCGTTTCCTGTGTACGGGTTGTTATGATCTGGGTTTGTTCTGGACATGACATCATTTAGTAAAGTAAGAGGTAAGGTAAAAAGTAATAAATCACTTTCTGGTAATATTTAATTACTTCTGTCATGCAGTCATTGAGTACTGCAATCAGTTTTTCATTTAAATAATTATTGTAATGGTAATGGGCTAATTTTTTTTAGAAACGCGTACGAAAGAGCCACCAGCCTTTCCAGCACCGCTGAGAATCTGGAAACTAGAAAGCTGTATCGGAATTTTGGACCAACTCTGAAAAAGCCAGCAATAGATCCCGGTGAAGCATGATCGCACTGACAGCGTTTCTTGCTAATGTACGGAATGATCAACTCTGTACACTAAGTTAAGTGATCAAACGTTATTTTCGGCAGCACTGTCAAATATCATATCATTCTTCATACCTTCTGCTTGCCTCAAATTAAATTCTCAATGCCGCTATCGCCATCATAATTCAGCGCCGCGAGTAGGTCCGTCAATTCGAGGCGCTGTGAACCCGTTTACGCAATCGCCTGGAATTTTCTCGCTTGCAAAATTGCCGTTGCCTGCAAAAAAAAAAAAAAAAAAAATTATTTGGACGTTGTGTTGTTAGCAATAAATAAAATGTATCGGTGTCATACATCCAGTGATTAACTACGGGCGTAACAAAAAACAAAATGTCGGTGTACGATGATTTGTTTTCCGGAAACTACTTGTAACCGCGGATAAAAAAAAAAAAAACTCAAATTAAATTGGCAAAAAAAAAAGATTTTTTTTTTTTGGGGGGGGGGGGGAGGGTTTCACCCCAAGTTGGCAATTCTTACTTTTTTTTGTGGCGGGAAAAGGGAGGGGGGGAGTGGAATGGCGCACCCAGCGGCAGCTTTTCACCCTGTGTCGAAGTGTCTTGAGCATTTTATGTATTAAGGTGTTCTGCTAAGACAAAGGTATCCTCGTCTAAAAGAACAAACTACAAATAAAAGATGCCTCAGGAACGAGACGCTCGGGTTACCAGCAAGCCAGGATCGGATGTTTAAGGACGGGGGTTCTCTGTTCGGCTGCTCTCACGAGCGTGAATACATTGGAGCGCTTGTGCTTTTCCACGACGGTTCCAGATAAAAGTTTCGCTGTTTTTACGTCGCATGACCGAAACAGCGCGAAATAGTTGACCGTGTCTCAATCAGCACGTATTGCCATTTGATGTCCCTTCATTTTTGTTTCAGGAGATTGAAATGGGGCTTCTACAATTAGTACTCTTCTGCGGCTTTATCGCTGGTAAGTCATACCTTTTATGTTTCCTAACATTTTTCAACAAACGCCGTCATTTTTCTTTACTATTTTTAACCCCACTTCGTAGTTCTTTTCTCATACTTTAAAAGCCTTTTCAGAAACTAGTTGGTATTTTGTTTCGCTAGATATATTCACTCATAATATCCGTAGTAAGAGCTGAGAATTTTCAATTATTCGCTTTTAACAACAACAACAACCACCATATTTAATAATGTATTCTCAGAAGTGCCTCCAAAGTTATAAATATCTGTAGGCAGGATTGATTGGGAACTTCTGCCCTCACTTTTTGAAACCTGGCGCAGGAATGCCACGTCTTCGTACAAAATCAATGATTAAAATATTATAATCAATGCACCTTCAATGAATATTAGCTCAAGCTTAGAAATTTGAAATCTAATGCACCGATCTAAGGTATGTGGCCCACTCATTGTCTCAGCCTTCCTTTACTCGAATGTTCACTGAGTTTGAGAGGTTTGCATGACGATGAACAAAAAGCGTTGGTTTTGTTTTAGATAAAATATATTCCAAGTAATAAAAATAACTCCTATATTTCTATAATTTAGACAGAAGGAGTTTCATATTTTAATCTGGTGGTAAATATGTGTTTGCAAAACGGTGATGACATAGACCCGTCCACCAAGCACTATGAACATGTCAAGCTGCCCAGAGCACCTTGTCACCTCAGAATATGTCTAAGGACGTATCCCCGAAGAAAGTGGGACATGGCACCATTAAGCACGATCTCGAAACACCTTTACAAATACCGTCACAAGATATCTTCACAAAAACCGTAAAAAATCGACATAAAATATATCACAGGCCTGCTAAAATTAGCACACTTTTTTTTCCGTTAAACTTAGCGGGAAGCGTTATCTCGGTAATTTAGTGGGAAAAAGCCCGCAACCTTCTGTGAAAGTTAACACCTCTCCTGAGCTCGCAAACGCTATACATTCTTAACGCAGTTAAAAAAAAAGAAGAAAAACATTGCATATTTTTTGAGTTTTGACTTTTTTCGTAGAATTAGGATAGATGAATATTTTTGCTGCATCCCATCTACATGTATTGTATCTAGCGGAAACGAAACTAATGCTATATTTTATGCTATTGCAGCGCTGAAAATTCCGGTTATAAAATCAACCAAAAATAAAACGCGCCAGCAAAAAAAAAAAAAAAAAAAAAAAATTCGGTGAATAGTATACGATGCTTTTGACCTGAATTACCTTGAAGGTTGAAAACGATGATTTGCGGTCATCTACATTCCTTTTAACTATGAACATAAAGAAAATATTGCCTCGGTTACCGCACTTGACTCTCGTGCGGTAGCCCGGGGTTGGATTCCTGGGAGCGCCGCGTCTTTTATTTATTCTTTCAATTTATATTTCTGGTAATTTCGAGAACCGTGTTGTTTATTCTAGGTTAGAATGTTCTGCGCGCCGAATCTTCTAGGAAATAGTTCCAGAAGTCCACGCGTGTACAAAAGGGGCCCCGCGTGGCGAGCCGGAGTCAGTCTCGAACCAGCGTTCGATTCTGCTGTTACGCCGACTTCGGCGCCCGCGATGCTCTGTTGTTATATTATGTTTCCTTTTTGTTTTGGACACAAGTTCGCCCCCATTAAACGTTTTGGTTTTCTCAGTTATTCCTTGTTTGCCACCTCGTCACTCGTAACAATATGCCTACGGATAGAGCCGCACAATATTATTCGCAAGCAACGAAAAAGCAAAGCAATGTGGCTTGTTTTGCAGTAACTATCACTCTCTGTCAACGTTCCTAAATTATTATCTACCCAACATTTTGATGCTTCGTTCCGGGACAGTGGATAACATTAATCTGTCCCGGTCAAACACAAGTTAGAAATTCGTTAGAAGCTCCTCCCGCACCCCTCATTAGCGCCAGCCAATGTACCTCCGGGGGCGCAACTAGTCTCCTGCTGAGGCGTACGTCTCGCTGACGTCACCTAACTCTTCATGCCTACTTCCTTTTGTTCGTACACCAAGTGAGTCGATGGCGTGTGTTGTATATTCGGCCTACCCTTTTAATCTTCGCACGTCTGAAGGTGTCGAAGTATTGCGGTACTATAAGCTCTTGTGTTGATTTCCAGGAGTCCTCGCGGGCAGCAAGTACGACTCCAACGTCTACATTGACTCCATCGTGTCCACCGTGCTTCCCGCCAATGCCAGGAGCCTCGGCCTGGACAGCGTCGACGTCCCCAGCTACGCATTCATTGTGAATAGCACGTCTTTGACCAACCGGGACCTGCACGTCGAGTTCCACGGAGGCAAGCTCGTCGGCCTGGTCAGCCCTGGGCTCGTCCGCTGGGGAGACTGCTCTGCTCCCGGATGGCAGGGCTTCAACGTCACGCTGGGATGCTACCTGTCGCTTGACAACCTCCACCTGAGCTATGTGGGATCTGCCAAGGGCGACAGTGTTCTCAACACAAACAAGACCCTTTCTTTGAACGTGGTTCCCGTCAAGTCTTCCGCTTTTATCGAGGTCACTTCCGGGTCAGGTAGGCATTCACTATTCATATTTTTAATGATTGACGTTTTTGCAGACTTGGCAATGCAAATAGGAGTATAAAAACTAATAAGCAAATATGAAAGAGAAAAAGCGATGAAGAAACAAAAATATGATTAGGTGAGGAACGGAACTCCTTCAAAATAGGTGCATATGGGGTACCTTCTCAAAGTTACATCAAATTCCTCCTAAAAAAAAAACAAAAAAAAAACAATTTACCCATGCGATCTATGTCCCATTATACCCTCCAAAAACCCGTCTAAATGAAAATGTGAAAATTAAGTGGATTCATCAGCATACTTCACAATTTTAAGTGGTTCAAGACAGCCTCCCTTACCTTACACACATTGTATTATATATAAAACAATATAGCTAATGCTGTCAGTCACATTTGTTTAAAAAAATATTGCTGACGAGAAGGCTATAAAAATGTTGGAAAAACAAAATGCCCTTATGTGTGATTTCAAAGGTGAATATGATAGACAACCAGGGCCAAACTTCAAATTGATTTGCGCGCCCTTCTTTAAGGAAAATGAATATATTGCACTTTTTGTGTTTTCATATGCTATTATCTGACTGCGTTCTATGGGCGAATATGGTTTTTAAAAAGCGATGTTCAGTAATTTTATTGACGGGACCAACATGTACGTTGTGATACAAATAACTTGTATCAGTGACAAATACATTGGGACGAAGAAAAGGAATAGGAAAAGGAGAATTCGACGTGCCACGCTTAACCCTGTGAGCTGAAAAATAGAGGGGGTAGAAATCTTAAAATTAGAAAGCACGCAACTGCATGATAATGGGTAATATTTTACCAATACCGCGTCTTTTATGGGCGCGTGTAACAAGACAGTGTTTTTTTTACCCCATTAAAACTTCATAGGCACCTGAAGACGCTTAAACTTTATAAGATCCAAAATATTACAAATTTTACACCTAGGAGTTTTACGTTAATAGTTTGTTGAATTTAATGTTGTTAATTTTGACATCTTGCATATTCACTTTGCCAACACTGGTAACTTTTCAATGTATATCGCACTTTATTCTTGCGCCAAAGAGGGGGAAAGGTGGCAAAGTTGTAACTATGTGATGGAAGTGGGCGAGGAGTTGTTTTCGTAAAAGTTAGTTAACTATGTTTTGACATGAAATTTGTTTTGTCCGTTCGCGTGCTCATTCATGCTCCTGTCGTGAGAATATGAGCGTGAAAATGCTCTCGGACGTGTAAAAATATTCTACGGAAAAGCGGTACAAAAAAAAAGATGTTTTGTTTCAGGGTGAGGTTCACTCCGAACATTGTATCTGCATCGGTTTTGCAGAAACCCGCGTATGATCAAAAGCGCATTTGGTTTTTGTAATGTGGTTTTTGTAAACTGTAAACACTTATATCACGATTCGATAGTCATAGTAAGCCGTGTCTCAGGATTTAGCGTGTGCAATCATTGTGCTGTTTATGCTAGAGAGTTTTAGTAGATTTGTTTGGATAACTCCAATAAATCTACCTGGTTTTTTTAGGATGGTTATCGGCAAGGCATCCACGGGGAATCGGGTATTATTATCGGAGTCATCAGAACGGCTTTCCAAACAAAAAGATTAAGGAAGGTCCATTAGTGGATTCTTAGATATTGTTTTAGCATTACCCTTGGAAGCGCCATACACGTTTCCCTTTGGGAAACGCTTCTAAAGCTGGGTAGTGCTGTAACTCCCAACGCACACGGCGGCAGGCTGGCAGACGCACACGCGTAAGGGTTTTTGCCTATCTGCCTTGCCTGGCACGCCGCCGTGTGCGCACCAATTTAAGTGCAAATAAATCACTCACTCACTCACTCACTCGCTAACGCTGACCCCTTCACTTTTTTCTATTGGCTTTCTCTTTTGACTTTCCTTTTTGCTTCCTCTATTTCTTGTTGCCTCTTTTTGGCCTCGTTACGAGGTCAGTGTTAGCGTTTCACAAAAAAGGTCACGTGTGGTGTTTCCCAAGGGTCATGCTTGCAGGTTCCCTAATACACCAGTGGATCTCCTTGCACTCGTTTTCACCCCTTTTCTGTACTCTGCCTGTCAGAGTACGTCGATGCACTTGGACACAGTCATCCATATCACTCGTAGAAAAAAACACATTCCTACCACTCGTGGAAGAAACCGCATCCATATCACTCGTCGAGTGAACCGTATCTATCGTTTTAACTACACACACGTCACAGCCCAAGCGCCGCTAGTACGCAAACCCAGAGCGAAGAACAACCGGCGACGGCTTGGCGGTAACTGAAAACGCCTGGATTCCACCGTGCCACGGCGCAGCAGCTCCTAGATAGCAAAGCCGTGGTGCTGAATGGGATGGCGTGTTCAGAGAAGGCCAACGCTGTGCGCAGATTGGACACGACCATTGCGTCAACGTTCGGCTCAAACTCGACTCGAAGCCGAGCGCTGACGCAGCACTGGCTTCAATCTGTGTCCAGCGTTGGCCTCATTTAGCACTACGGCTATGTTATCTAGGAGGTGTCGCGCAGCGTTTTTTCCACTGCTGATCCGCGCCAACTGTGCGCGCGACTTTGTCGAAAGCGAAAGTGCTGTTCTGACTAAAACCCGGCGGTGTCTGTCAGTTTGTCAGCACCGGGGATAGGGGAAGAGGTTCACGCGTGCTCACGTCAGCGCTTCGGACTAATGAAAGGGTCACTCGCGTTACCCTCGTCCCCTCCTTCGCCCTTTCTCCCCGGTACTCACAGACCAAAGACACGGCCGAGTTGTCGTCAAAACACGGGTACAAATGCTAACGCATGAAAAAAGAATTAATTGACTGTACTGTAGGCCCCCTTAGGGTCCAGGCAGGTGTGGACATAGCAGATGAAAGGGCATAATAAAATAAAAAAGTGGCACATCTTCAACACAAAAAAAGTCAGAAATAACAAATAAAAGAAAATTGTAACTGTACGTTCATGAAGCTTTGACAAAAATTATTTTGACGATGGGCTGTAAACGGTATTCTTCGGCAGGAAATTCCATCGGCGATTGTTCTTGGAAAAAAATGAGTGAACAATATTTGGTGCAGAACACACTGATGTTCGTTGTCTATGAATTTTTTATACCATTCGTCTTGAGATTCACGACACAACTGACTGTGAATACGACGGCGCAAAATTTGTGTAAGCACTTCATGTTATTTATAATTTACGACGCAATCTTGACGTCAACGTGACTGCAGCGCGATCCTTCGAAATTCAGTGATTTCTTTGTCTCAGAGTAATGGTTTAATATTCAAGTTGTTTCACCACTACCTTTAACCATGTACCAACCTGCAAAACGTAAACCGATAATTGCATCGTAGCTTAGACTGGACGCAAATACGCATGCTTTCGTAGTGCCGCTCCGTGTGCGCGCGGAGCGGTTTTTATCTGCTTGCTAGGACGACGTCCTAGAGGTAAACGTCAAAGACCATGTCTAGGGCGACCGCTAGGACGACCTCTGGGGTGATCTCTAGGAAAACATCTGGGACGACGCCCGCACACGCGCAGCGCCTCTGTATGCGGATGTCGCGAGTAGGCGGATCTCCTGAGTATGCGGAAGCATATTTGAGTCCAGATACCGTATTGTGAAAACCGAATAAAGCAGCTAAAGCATGCTATTGCATTAAACTGTTATCACTGCTGATGTGTATGTGGAGGAGCTGTCTAATCGGCAGTATCTGTTACAGAAAAATCGTACTGCTAGTCTTTGTACTTTTTATATTTCCTCAGTGTTCTTAATTGTGTGCGGATTCCAAAGCACACATGCGTACTCCGAATGAGGTCTTATCAATGTTTCAAAGACACTGCAGCTTAACATTGGGTGGTGCTAAAGGTAGCTTTCGCCTTAGTGACCATAAAGTAATTGATGCAGTGGAGCACACATTGACAATGTGTGCGTCCCAGCTAGGTTTTTAGTTGTTACACCGATATATTTTGCTTGCTATGACTCCCGAATTGTGGTACTACGAATGAAGTAAGAAAATATTTTTACAGACTTTTGGTTCGTCACGCGGAGTGGTGGCCATTTATGGCAGTGCCTATTTTATTAATTGCACCACTCAAGTATGTTTTGAAGAGTGCCATTTAGTTTAACAATTGAAAACGAGCGTGTTGGTGAATAGGCACAAATATATAAAAGAATAAAACACCGAGGATGGGGGCGGAGAGTAAACTTCTTTCACTAAGCTAGACGTATAAAATGACACAAATTATAAAACCGCCCCAAAAGGTTTTAACGTTCTCAAAGAGGGAAAGGAAAAAATCACTGAAGGGAAGGAAATTTTACTATAATTTAAAAAAAAAAGTTTAAAAGCACTAGCGTTACAACAGATTAATGTTACCCCCTCGTGACGCAAGTGCTCTTTAAACTTTCAACATTATAGTAAATTTCTTTTTGTTTTTCATCAATTCTTTGCTTTTCCCCTTCGAAAACGTTAAAAACATTTTGTTTCTTTTTTTTTGGGGGGGGGGCAGTTTTATAGTTTGTGTTATTCTAGGTTGTTGCTAAATGAAAGAAGCTTTGTTCCGTCCCTGTCCTCAATGTTTGATCCTTTAATATATTCGTATTTATTTTAATTTGACCATCATCATAGTATATTTCTTTATAAAGAACGCAATCCTCAGCGAAAAGCCGAATACTAATCCCATCGACTGGAGAGCCCACAATATAATTTATAGAGATCAAAAATAAAATGGGGGCCAGAACCTGAGTAGTGACGGGTAATTTCTACAAAATTAAAACGATCTGTAAGACAGTCTTTATTAAATCAAACAAGGTTACTTTTTATTCCAATTGTGTAAAGTTTGTGTATTAATTTATTATGTGGTACTTTGTCGGAGACTTTTCGAAGTCTAAAAATTGCAGAAGACCGCTTTCATTTATTTAGTTTTAATGCGAAGTAATGAATGTACAGTTACCAGTTGAGTCACCGTTGAGAGACAAGGACTGAAACGACGACATGCTCTTTTCGACAAATGATTTGTTCCTAGATCCTCTGGCATGTGCTCCCCAATGATAAGGGTTAACATCTCACGACAGACTGAAGCTAGCTTTATTGGCCGATAATTCCACACACTGTGTGCACCACCACTTCTCAAAACCTACATAACAGATGCACAACACCAGTCAAAGGGATATTCTCACTTTTGTAATTACAAGTAAAAATACCATACAAGTGATGCGACACCCACTCAGCATAACTCTAATTAATGCCGCTGGCATATCGAGGTGAACTAAGAAATTAAAAGAATGCTGTCCTGACTCACGCAAAAAAATGATTCCTCAATCAGCATGGCTCATGTCCTCCGCTGACTGGTTTTGGACTATAAACATTAAAAACAAATTCAAGTACCTATTAAACTTTCGCAATATAATTGGGTTCAGTAACAGGGCTGCCGCCAACACTAACACGCTAAATTCCTTTTTTGTTTCCAGCTAAAAACTTCCGAATTGACTCGGCATCTTTTTAAAAATATGGCCAAGAGTGCCAGAAAAAATGTTTTCATTAGAACACATAATTGCTTGTTTAACTGAACTTGCATCCTAGCAATGTCAGAGCGCTCGTTTGGGACGATTCCGCCTTCTTTTTTGTGCAGCTTACGCTTTAAGTGTATTAGAGAATGTTAGGGAAGCATTTGCTCACATCCAATGCTTTACAATGAGCCCCTTGGTACGAACTGCGCACGGGCAGAGTTTTCTGCTGTAGCACATGGCCAATTGTACAGTGCAGGGTGCTCAAAAACGCTTAACTAAAACTCTATTATTACTGTCGTTATTCATGAATTGTTTGTGCGTGTTTTCGTCATTTTGTCGGAAATAAACTAACTTATGCAGAGATAAAAAATATTTTAAAATAGGGTCCACAAGGTATCAACGTCACTTTCTTGGCTAAATTAAGCGCGATGGGTTTTTAAGTAGTCTATGATGCTAGCATCATCGGTGGAGTTGCAATTTTTAAGCAGATATTTTATTAATTTACACCTGTTCGGCCTTTTCAACAAAATCTGATAGGGGATACAACATGCGGTCCGAGATACCGCTTATCACGTCAACAGCGTAATCTGATATCTGTCACCCAACGAAAAGCAAATTGATCAGAGACTCCATTGTGGAGCCAACCAGGTAGGTGATAACACAATTTGTGTTGTCACCCGGACTGTTCAAAAGATTGTTCAATGCTAGAAGTGGTTATTCGCCTTTCAAGTGACGTGTATTAATCGTTGTTTTTTTCCCATTTTTAGACCAATATGACTATCCGTATCATACAGGTTGTACAAAAAGAGTCGACTGCAGTTCAAATTATTCTTAACTGGGGAGTATAATTAGATACCTTGATTACTGCATAAAAATTCAACGACTTGTGCGATAGTAACATACCTGTATCAATTTGTTCTTGAACTTTATAGACACGACATTGGAATCGCTCTTCTGAGCTATTAAGAGCATTTCTAAATTAACATTGTCGTAGAATAAAGCACTATCACATATATTAAAGAGAAACAAATAAATGTGCTGGGTTTAATTTAGGGTGGCATTACTATGAGTCTAATGACACTGGTAAAAACACTTAACTGATAGAGTTGGTTGATTTAAATATCCGGAAAGTTATAACGCTGCCTATTCAATTTATTTCAGGGGGAATTCCTTCGCTCAGGACGTGGCTCATTCGCCCCCTCAACTTCAGTGTCGGCGTCACAAAGCCACTGACATTGAACGACCAGCGAAAATCCGCCTTCCAGAGCGAAATTGCCAAGCACTCGCAGGCTGCACTGCTCAACGTGCTACTGGTCCGTTTCAAAGAGGCCGTGGAGAGATCCGTTCGATCGGTGAAAATGCCGAAACCTTAGAACTTGGTGCAAGGACGATAATCTATCCTTCTCAATTGAATTCAAAATAAAAAAAATCTGCTTCGTCATTTGAATGTTTATTAAAACATTATTTTAATTGAAAACAGAAGGTATTTTGTGTTGCGATTTATGTATAGATATATATTATTAAGGACATGAAACAAAAGTACAAAGTGCTAGCTAAAGAATTAGAGGGTCTTTTTATCGCAAACATTAAGTAAGCATTGTTCAACGCCCATTTTCCACCTGAACATAGCCCTAGCGGTGCAAACCAGAGGCAAATATTTCAAAACTAACAATTATCTTCAAAAAAAAGAAAACCTTAAGGTGATTTGTTCAATTTTTGATGGGAAAACGGCCGTCGAAGGAGCTCTTGAATGCATGGAGATGAATGGTGCCACGTACCAAAAAACGGTCGAGAACGGGTCCCCTTTCCCGTTAAAATCTCCAGAACATCACTTGTAAATTTTGATTGATATGATGGCTATCTTTTACACTTTGCGATCCTGTCCGGACCGCTAGCGCCATATTTGGGCGTAGAATAAGCGTTTTCGCTGGAACAAATTTTTTTTTTTTTTTTTACGGTGAAAGGAATATTTTTTTTTAAGAGGGGTTGGGGGGGGGGGGGGGGGGGGGCGGGGAAGGAGATTGACGCGCTGTATACACTAATGCAGATATTGCATGACCCGTGGTTTTCATGCATAGTTACTGAAAGCTAACGAAGGGCAGGGCGTGGCAGGTCCCGGACATGTCATTACCGCTGCGCAGCCAATAAGATTGCTGCGTTACCCCATAAGGCCCGCTTCAGACGGGGCAAATTTTTCAGCGATTTTGAGGTTGCTGGCGGGTTGTTCCCTAGCTTTCCCTAGATCGACTCGAACAAGCGAGCAACTCGGAGCAATTTGAAGACGTTTGAAGCGGCTGCAACCAATCAGCGACGCGATATTTTCACGTGACACTCCTCTGGTGGTGATGATGACAGCAAAAGACTTGGTTCTGGTTTCAAATGGATCGTTTTTGAAAATAAACCTTTTCAGAAAGATGAGTTAGTATTCTCAAAAACATTCAAAGATATAAAAATACGTTTTTAGCGCTTAGCTGTGCGTCTAAATAGTCAAAGAAAAATCAAATTGAATGATGATGATAGCGAGTCGGAGCGATTCGGTTGCTGCATGTGAAAACGGGCGGCTCGTGTTGCTGGTGTTGCGACGTCAAGTTGCTGTGTGAAATTGCCCCGTCTGAAGCGGGCCTAAGAACGTCAAAGAACGAATCCCGAAGAAGCATGGACATAAAACGTCATTCTTCGGGTTTATTAAGTTGCCAGTGACTGTAGCAGGCAATTTCTGGCGCATACTTGTATGGGTGCGGCCGGCATATAACAAACATGTATAAAAATCAAAACAAAAAAGTGAAAGCCGCTTACAACTCCATGTAACGCCGAATTAGAGCGCAGCTCTTGAGGAGGAGGAGGGAAGGGTACTGGGGGGGGGTTCAACTAACCAGGGGGGGTCACGTGACCTTGGGGGTCATGACCCCCCAATGCCGAAGGTGTCATCACTGACGTCACTGATGACGTCATCAGTGACGATGACGATGCGGATACCGATGACGTCATTAGTGACGTCACTGATGACTTCACCAGTGATGATGACGATGACGATGCGAATGTCGGTGACGTCATCAGTGACGTCACTGATGACGTCATCAGTGATGATGATGATGACGATGCGGATGCCGGTGACATCAGTGACGTCACTGATGACGTCATCAGTGATGATGACGATGACGATGCGGATGCCGGTGACGTCATCAGTGATGATGACGATGACGATGTGGATGCCGGTGACGTCATCAGTGACGTCACTAATGACGTCATCAGTGATGATGACGATGACGATGTGGATGCCGGTGACGTCATCAGTGACGATGACGTCAACGGGGGTCACGCGACATAGGCGGGGGTCACGTGACCTCGGGGGGTCACGTGACCCCCCTCGAGGTCACGTGACCTCAGGGGAGTCACGTGACTTCGGGGGGTCACTTGACCTCGGGGGGGGGGGGGGTCACGTGCCCCCCACGAGGTCACGTGACCCCGGTGGGGGGCTCGCGCGGTGCATTATGGGACATTTCCCATAATGCACCGCGCGGTTACGCCGACGCCGCTCAAGCCGGAAACGGGCCCCTAAGAGCTGCGCTCTAATAGGCCAATGTATTTGCACCACATTTGATACCCAGCTCTCCACATTTATGCTTTTTAAGCTCGTTCAATAAAACTACCATTAGCGTCAATGACAGCCTCGATACGTCTCCGAAAGCTTCTGTACGCCTTAATGAAATGGTCCTGGTTGACCTTAGCCATCACGTCCAAATTGGCAGCCGTCAACGAGTCTTTGATATTGTGAGGCTGCTTGTTAGTCTCGATGATGATGTTAACACTCTTGGTCTGGGAAGGAGACTTGAATACAAAACAGAGGGGATGGAAGAGAGTCGGTAGGCAGCGTCTCAAAAAAATCATTTGAACGCTGTCTGGCCATTTTTTTCCAATTTGTCTTAATGTTTTATTTACGGTCTCATGGTTCAAACATCATGAGTAATACCAAGTTCACGAGTACTTTGACTATTTTTTGTTCGCATATCTTTTTACCAACGCCTCACGCATAATTGCCCAATGGGTTTGAGCCCTGGGAGTTAGGAGGTCATATGTTAGGCGGGGTGTGATCATAGAAATTTTCAGCCAGCCAAACCTGTGTCAACGAGGCCACGTGCAGAAGCAACGTCTTACTGGAAGATGTAGGACTGCCCCTGGGTAATATCCTAAATCCAAGGCTTCACCACAGTCTCTAGCACCTCAACATAAGCACTTGCGTATATTGATGTGTTCTAAGGCCTTGAGGAAAGAAATGGGGTGGCATATGGGCCCTCGTTGCTCGCTATTCTTTATGTCATCACAGATGATGGAAACTCGGTGTGCATAACAGCGGAGACCTGTCGTGCTCCCCTGTATGCTTGAGTTAATTAAACAGGCGCTTCGACCGAATATAAGGAGATTCTGACGGGATATGTCGGTTGTGGACTGCCTTTTTTTCATTACGCGGGACATGTACGGATAGTCTTTGTGGACCATACGCCTCATGGTACACACACCATCTTCGAGTTGCTTCGCAGCTGCACTGATTGATATGCTGGACGCATCATCGACAACCTTCTGGACTTGATCGACGAATGGTATCCGATCGCTGGGAATGTTTTTTTTCCTTCTGGTGCTTGACACGTCCCCAATTCTGAGTTCAGGGGTTCTTTTCTGGCTTTGAAGAGAAATGATCTTGCCACATTCAACAAGGTGGCACTTTCTGAATCGTTGTGGTCGGCGGCAAATGCTACGAGCACGATATGCCTTTTCATTTCCTTTTGTGAGGCTGGAGGCGGACATATCGATTCGAATACTAAAGAGAATACCTACACATGCGGCTGAATCGTTTTGCAAAGAGGTTTTGACGAATGAAATTATTGGCTGTTCATTTATGACGCGCCAGACGCGTGCTCTTAAATACTGGCCACCCCTTATTTCTACTCTATTTCGGTTTAGCCTAAGTCCCAGAGTAGCTCAAGCCACGATAAGATGGGGACGATCAAGCAGCGCCAAAAGCGCAACGCCACAGCTTTGTATGTTTGCCATAACCTTGCAACGCCACAGCTTTGTGTGTTTGCTATCACAGCGCATGTGCACGGCGCATGCGCCGCGGTTCTACGCTTTGTTCTGCGCGTAATTGGTTGTGCCAGTGATAGTATAAACCAACGGAAGTAACGAGCGCCGTGACGATGAACTTTTGACGATGTTCGATTAGCTCTATCGAATTGCACTGTCGGCCGTGGTCGGACTTAATGGGAAGCGGAGTATCGAGGGAGGAACATAAACAAGCCACGCATTCGTTTCGTAATCCTTAACCGAACAAACAATTCACAGAGCCAATCCTGCTGAGGTTCTGTGATTTTGATACCCCCCCTCCTTAAAAGGAGAGAGAAAGTGCAAGACGTTGTCTATAACTAATACTTTATATTAAATAAGATCATCTGGAATATGGTACCGGGGTGTCACCTCCGCAAATACATGTTGGCGGTACTACTTCAGTATTGGATTTTTTTTTGTACGCTTAAAGGAGCTGTGCAACGATATTCAATTGGAATGTTTTTCTCTCTACACGAGCTTACTGGCACACCTGGGACTCAAGGATACTCACACGCAACGCCATTGGCCAAGAAACTCCTTTGTTGCGGTGTAATTTCAAGGACAAAAGCGATCATTTTCATTCAATCTCTCCTTTGCAAAATTTGATGACGTAACTCGGGGATCGCAGTACACCCAAGTGACGATATTTGAATGCGGTTCATAGATTGGACCCGAGCATAGCATGGGCACTCGACTTGGGCTCGTGATAATTGCTAGCTCGAGAAGCGTTCGGGTAGTGACCCGTGTCCAATCGCTGCAACGACGACAACAGCTGAGCCATAACAATGTCTGGAACTCAGCGCGTGTCCTGCGCTTTGCCAACCCCAGCGCGTGGCTATGATCAAGACTGGCGGCATATAATCGGCTCCAGATCACGTGGTCGCTTGTTCTGGCTGCGAGTTGAGGGGGGGAACGCTGCTCGTTTTTCTTTAATTTTTTTCTGGGACTTCTATTGCGTGGGGTGAAAAACTAACGCGTGTTTCATAGGTCATTAACGTTAGGGATCCGTTTTAAGCGGTATTTCTGCAGAGTACAAAAATTGTTGCACAGCTCCTTTAAGGCTGGAGCTTGATGACATAGGGCACGAGGCCGGACCAGGCGCAGTCTCGCATGTCACCATATTTTGTGTCTGTTTCTATTGATCAGCTTCAATGATTCTTCGAATTTTTCTCATGTTTCAGGCGACTTTGAAGTTACGTAGCGCTTCGTAAGGTCATGTTGTAGATCGCCACCAAACGATCACAAAGTGGTTTTAGTAATGGTAGACATTTCAATACGTGACAAACCGGATGACGATAAAGTGATCTATGATTATGCGAAAGCAAACACAGCTGAGATTTT